ATATGGTTCAACGGTAAGCACCCAGAATCAGCAGGGTAAGAACTGGGTACAAAGCCTAGAAGACAGGTATGGTCATTCAACATAGAGATTAAAATCCTAATTCAGCTCTAGTTCTTAATTCCAGTCTCCTGATGTCTTCAGTAACTGGATTTCTGCCACTCACACAACAAATGTGGATTGAACTTCTGGCTGCTGGTTTTGACTGAGCCCACACTTAGTGGTGTGAACCAGTAGATAAGAGCTCTCCCTCTCTATCTCTTTTCTAGGTCTGTTTTTCCTGCTCATTCTCTCTTCCCAAATAAACAAGTTTTTAAAAGAACAGGAGAGAACCTTAACCTCAGTCTCTGTTCTTTTTTCCTCTTTTTAAAAAATGATCTGATTCGTTGGGCACAAGAATTCCACCCCTCCACTTGCCCATTTCCATCTCCACTTCCTCATTTCTGCTCCCCCACACATACTGTTTTTCTCCATATTATTACAATAGTATCATCCTTTAACAGTAGTCACAAGTCCATCATTCTGCTATTTAAGTGTATCCTGACATTATAGATATAGACAATGGTAGAAAGTCCAGCATCCTATTGTCAAGATGTATTTAGCAGTTTCATTGGGAGTCCATCTTTTATTCAGGAGTAGAGAGGCATACCGCACTGCATCTCAATATGCTGCTCTCCATTATACAGTTCCTCCAGATGAATATATGTATATACATGTTTATCTATGTATCTATTGGTCTTTTATTTTGCATGAAGGTTTCTACCCATTCTTCTTGAGTCCTTAATTCTTTATGTAAAAAACAGAAAGAACATAAAACAAGGTTTCAGGTAATTGATGTAGAAAATACAAGAAGAGTCTGCACTGGCCCCAAAACTAAGTATAAGAAAGCCCTCAGATATTTTCAAACACACTGGCGCTTCCACAGTTAGCCAGGCCAGGCTACTTTCCAATGCTTGAAAACATATGAAAAGGAAGGATATTATATAGCTCTCTTTCATATTTTTAACAAAATCTAAAGCAGATCAGGTTGAAAGGTAAACCAAAGCTACAGTAAAGGAAAGGATGCGTGAGAGGAAAGAACCACGGCTTCTCTCACCTATTCATGCCCTTTGAGAAAGTAACTCAGCGTGGTCTACAGGCAAAGAACTTGCGTGTGTTTCCTTGAAAAGTCAGGAGCGCAAAGGGGGCATTCCAGATGTGCCAATCGCTCTACAGTCATCGCTAGAGACCATGTGAATAATGCATTTGTTTCCTTTCCTATGTGCTCACTTTTAATCTCTGTACCTTCTCTCCTGTAACCTGACATAACGAGCTGCTTTGTATTCATGGAAATTGGGAAGGGGCAGAGAGGAGGGGAAGAAAATTTTCCTAAAAAAGAAAAAACCTTCAGACCGCATGGGGGCAGTGCTTCCTCTGACAGGGCCTTTGATAGTGTGCTTCCTGGGGCAGAGAGACAAGGAGGTCTTAGCTGCCATGCGACAACAGTGAAGCAGGCCCTTCGAACCGTCCCAGGCCTCCAAACTGAGCACTGAGTTCATAAGAATGCAGATTCCCCCGAGGATGTCACTGATGCTTCTATGTGTGTGGCTGACCTGTGAGTGAGTGGGGGCTAGAAGGAAAGGAAGGGATATGTGAGGGGGAAAAGTAGGCAGATCTGGCAATAAAGTCTAGAGAAGGACCCCAGAGACAGTGTGAGATTTACTGGAAGGAAGGTGCAGAATACATTCCAAAAACAACCACCTCCAACAGTAAGCCTGGGTTCTTATGAGTGAAAACTTTCTGTTCTGCTCAACAGGGTTGAAAGGACAGCAACTCCTGGCACAGAGCTCTACCTCCCTGGCAGTCAGGGAAGGCAAAGGTTTTACCCTGAACTGCAGCTACAGAGTTGGGGTCACAGACTTCTTCCAGTGGGATAAGCAGCATCCTAAGACAGGACCCATCTCCCTGATACAAAAGCTGTCCAACTTGGGAGAAAAGACCAGCAGGAGAGACACAGCCAAGCTTAATAAAGAGGATCAGCACTTCCCTCTGCACATAAGGGATTTGCAGCTCCAAGACTCAGCCATCTCCTACTGTGCTGTGAGTACACAGTGCCCTGCCTGCACCTGCACCCCGTAAAATCTTACCAAAGGGCCCAGGTACACCTCCTCTTAGAAGAGTTCTAGGAGACCTAGCATGATGGCTTAGTGGCTAAATCCTCACCTTGCACATGCTGGGATCCTAAACAGACACCAATTTGTGTCCCAACAGTTCCACTTCCCATCCAGCTCCCTGTTTATGGCTTGGGAAAGTAGTAGAAGATGGCCCAAGGCATTGGGATCCTGCACACATATAGGAGACCTGGAAGAAGTTCCTGTTCCTGGCTTCAGATTGACTCAGTTCTGACCATTACAGACACTTGGGGAGTGAACCAGCAGATAGAAAATCTTTCTGTAGCTCCTTCTCTCTATAGACCTGCCTTTCCAATAAAAATAAATAAATCTTTGAAAAGCACTCATTCTGTCAAACATTTCATCTGAAGATTATGTGCATTAGATGATGCCTTCAAACATATTCAATGTGTCTTGTTTCTCAGTCACACATACTTACTTCTGTTAGAACTAATCCAAAAACCTTGAGGATTAATATCTGAAGGAGAAGGCACCAACAAAGGGAGAACAGAATAAAAGTCTTGCCTTCGAGTTCCTTTATAGACTTTTACAAAGATATAGTACACACAAAAGCCTTAAAAGCTACAACCATTGAATTCAGTTGTGAAAGAAAATGTACGCTGCTCTTCCAAAAGGATTGACTTGGAAGATCAGGTTCCAGACCTAAGGGAAAATGGTTCAAAGTTTATAATAGAAGGGTGTAAAGAAAATACAATGGGATGGAAGAGCTGGTGCCTCCTTAAATGCTGATTAAAGTTCAACCAGATAACAGAAGAGACTTAGGGGGCATAGTCAAAGGTTATGAAGAGGGAGTCGTTGAAAGTTTGCAGTATCAGCAAGGCCTCTGGATAGGTGGAGAGGGGGAGAGTGAGTCATACCTAAGGATGACAGTGCAATGTACACAGCAATTTGAGCAGGATGAAGAATAGATTATTCCAATGAGATTGATGTCTCAACCACATCCCCTTGGCAGTCACTTCTTCCATTGAATTCTGCTTCATGATAACTCCAGCAGCTTTGGATGTTGCAGACCCCAAAACTCAAAAGTGTACCCTCTTGGCTATAATGACCAGATGGGTCTAGATAGGCCCCAGTTGACCTCAGAGGCTCCATCCCCACCTGCTGCTACACTCAAGACCCAGCTGCCTTGTAAACTTGCCTACCTAAAAAAGGGACATGGCTCCTGAAATTGCCTTGTAACCATGACTTGCATACAGTCATGTAGAAAAAAAAAGACCAAGAGTCAGGTTTTGATTCTTGAGACATGAGTCCAGTCAAATCTACATGGACAAATAAATTCATCTTACCTCCTACTAGTTTGTTTTCTTCTGGCTCGTTGTTGCAACAATGAAGGGGAGTAAGGACAGTATACAGAGCAAGCAAGAAATGCCAATTAGAACCAGTCTATCTGTGACAGATAACATGTTCTTGGATGATTACTATATCTTTTTTATGTCTCAAATAGGATAACTCCAAAGGCAATACTATCTTGTCTCCCAGAGTTACCCAGAAAGATTATACTCCAACTCCCTTTAATGGTAGCTGACTTGATGGTACACCCTCTATTGCCTTCCTTGCCTTTACTAGTTCATTTCCAATCAATTTCCTAGAATTGCCTGCAATAAATTGTTTGCACAAAATCCTTGTATTGGAACTGATTTTCAGAGATCCAAAAAGAATGTATAGGGATTCAAATCATGAGACAAAGATAGAGAAAAAAAACCTAGGAGGAACTATAGTGTTTATTCTTGTATTATCATCCAAATGGGCTTTGAAGTATGAAAGGTTTTAGTAGCCTTGTTCAGGACTGGTAACCACACTCATGGTGTCTTGCTATCCCTCTAGATAGGGATACTCAGTCATTACCTCTTTGTCAGATGGAACTCATGCCTCTCAGATAGTACCCACAATGTTGCAAGGCTCCATTCACACTCCCTGCCTCAGTCCATTTTCTATTGCTACAATAGAATATGTTAGACTAGTCAATTTGTAAGCAAGGGAAGTTTATTTGATGTATAGTCCTAAGAGCTAAGAAGCCAAAGTGCATAGCAGAAGCACCTGCTCACCATATCTGGTGGATGCTTTCTTGTTGTAGCATGACACGAGGGAAGAGAGAGCTAGATCAATAGCTTACTCTCCCTACCTCTTCTCTCAAAGCCACTAATACATTATATGGCATGGCATCCTAATTACCTACATGGCAACATGGAATTGTAATCACTTTCCAAAGGCCCCATCCGTCTGCTGGATCACATCCCAAATGGATAAAATGGCTATGACTGAGTTAGACTGAAGCTGAGAGCCAGGCTCTTGATCTAGATCTCCCACATGGTGCAATGGCCCAGGCACTTGGACCATATTCTGTTGTTTTCCCAAGGCTATTAGCAGGGAACTGGCATTGGAGTGGAGCAGCCAGAACACAAACCAGCACCACATAGGATGCCAGCATCACATGTGGTTGTTTAACCCCACTGTCCCACAGGCCAACCCCTATAATTTTCTATTTATTTGTAATGAAGTAAAGAAACAATGGCAGGGCTTGTCATTATTGCAAATGAAACTCTATCATTTTATCTACTAATCCAGGTCCCATTCTTTCTGCAAGATTAGGACTTATCAAAAATTAATTTGTCAGTTCCAATTCCTCTTTATTTTCATTCAAGACTAAGAACCCAGAAAACATTTTTTTGCTTTTATATAAAAGCATAACCAAAAGCATGTTTACTGAACAGTACATCAAAAGTGTTGGGAAAACTTTCTTCAGTGAGGTGTAGTTACCCGCCCACCTGCCACAACACTTCCTGCTTTGAAGAAGAATCATCACCTAGCCCAGAGGAGAAGCGCAGGCAGAGCAGGAGCTTTGCACCCCACAGGGAGAGCTGTCGGTATGAAACTTGCCAGCTTGCTATGGGCAGTGACTGTCTCCACCTGTCTGGGTAAGGCAGTTGTAGGACTTTATGCATAATGATATCTATATAGGGCTATAAAGCAAGAAATAAAATGCACAGTACAGAGACCACACAGCCCCTTAGATCACAGCTATCATGAGACAGCATGTGCTATACTCCAGCTTGGATGATGGAAAATAAAGGAAGGAGGGAACGGGAACCAGCCTGTGGGTTTGTCTGTATGTCTTTGTGACATGATCTCCCAATGGAAGCTTCCCTCTTCTCTTCCCTACAGGCTCCAGCATGGCCCAGACAGTCACTCAGACACAACCAGAAATGTCCGTGCACGAGGCAGAGACCGTGACCCTGGACTGCACGTATGACACACCTGACAGCAATTACTATTTGTTTTGGTACAAACAGCCTCCCAGCAGGGAGCTGGTTCTCATTATTCGCCAAGAAGCTTACAAGCCAGAGAATGCCACACAGAATCGTTTCTCTGTGAACTTCCAGAAAGCAGCCAAAGCCTTTAGTCTCAAGATCTCAGACTTGCAGCTGGAGGATGCCGGGACGTATCTCTGTGCTCTCAGGAGCTCACGATGACACAGATGGCAGGGAGAACCTTACAGAAACCTCAGACTTCAGCACACATGCACAAGTGGGAGACGGAGAGGGGCTGAGGCAAGAGAAAAAAACATAACCATGGAATTCTCTTGGAAATAAAAGCTCCTCTTCTCTGACTAGAAGAAACACGTAGATATGAATGTCTGAACGTGTAAACCTTTGATGTGACATTAAAACTAAGAACATGTTGAGGGCTTTCCACTTTTACAAAGTTCCATCACTGGCAGCACTGCATTTGACATCAGACTTTTGTACAATACTTGGTATGTAACAGGCATCCTAAATATTTTCTCTGTCTAGCCAATTTTCGTGATTTTGGGGGAGGACTCTTACTTTCAGGACTCAAAACGCTTTTATTTTGTCAACTGCTGTTTATTCTTTTAATTTTTCCACTCATGTTCAAAGTTAAATCTCCTCAAAAGAAGTGACTATTTTAAAATATATATGCAGATAGATATGTATATATATTTATACACACATACACACATTTATATACACTTAACTTATATATAATGTGTATATATACTATGCAAGTGTGTATATGTATATATAACATACACATATATACACACACTTAACTTTTATCTGAGAGGCAGAGACACAGAGGTAGACAGAGAGAGTGCCCATCCACTGTTTTATATCCCAAATACCAACAGTGGCTGGAGCTAAAACAAGATGAAGCTAGGAAAAAGTCAGGATCACAACCCAGGTAACCCACGTAACCCACGTATCGTATCAGGAACCCAATTATTTGGGCCATTATCATTACCACCAGGAAGCTGAAATCAGGAACCAGAGGCAGATACAAAACCCACAGACTACAATATGGGATGTAGGCATCTCAACTTTTGTCTGTATCACCATGTCAAAACCTTCTCCTGGGTATCATCTTAGAACTCGATAGGAGTGACAATGGGAGCAGCACCAGATAGGGCATGCGCTATGTCTATCAGGAACTGTTGCATCCAACCTGAGTCTCTTCCCCCAAGATGTGCAGCCCAGACAACTCTGCAAAGTAGCAAAGCTTATTGAGGAGTCAGGTAAACAGACTAGCCAGCTGGGATCAGCTCTCTTTTCTTTCAGAGAGTGACCCTAGAATGAGGGTTAAAAGGGTTTTATAGAATGGGTGGTGAATTAGGCAGACATGAAAACCAGAATGTAGCAAAATAAATAATATTAGTTCCTGGAACCGAGGGTTACTGGCAGGCCATGTGGCATCTTGTACTTTGGAAAAAAAAACAAAAGGAAGTTAGCAATGCATTTCATTTTGTATAGAAGCATAAAGAGAAGGTTAGCAAACTTATACAGGCCTGAGCCTAAGTGACTCCATTTTTTTTTACTGGATTCCACAGAACTTAAAAAATGACTTATGTCCACAGTACCTATAGCAGAGGACTAGAAGAATGAAGGAATGCTGTCCTTTCAAGGTGCAAACCCTAGGGTAACACTCTTTTCAGTGTTAATGCTGTCTTTAATGTTTGACATGGTAGTGATACCATTTGTTAGACCACCAAATGATATGGGGAAACAGATGTACAGAGAGAAGGGGAGACAGAGAGAAAGATCCTCCATTTGCCGGTTCACACCCCAAGTAGCCACAACAGCCAGTACTGAGCTGATCTGAAACCAAGAGCCCAGAGCTTTCTCAGGGTCTCCCATGTGGATGCAGTGTCTGAAGGCTTTGGGCCTCCTCAACTACTGTCCCAGGCCACAAGCAGGGAGCTGGAAAGCAAGTAGAGCAGCTGGGACATGAACAGGTGCCCATATGGAATCCTGCACATGCAAGTCGAGGACTTTAGTCACTAGGCAACTGCACCCAGCTCAGGAGTAAAGTCTTAAGAGATGCTTCAGAACTGATCTTTTTGGCCTGAAGAGGGCACTGCTTGTTCTCATTAAAAACATTCATTTGCAAAACTTCTCAGGCTGAAAAATCTGCTCTACATACAACAGAGTGAAAACAAAATTCTCTGTAGATGCTAGATCATATGTTCATTTCCAGAATCGAATATTACATGAATTTGGAAAGGTCAAACCACAGAAGAGCTACCTGGGTGACACCCTTACGGTTTAAATATGAGTAGACAAAATTGATGTCATCAGGAACCCAGAGAACCCAAGTTGTTCTGCAAACTGGTCTCTAGCTTCTACAGAAGGAACTCAAAAAGGGAATGAATTTCTAACCCACCCTGTAATGTTAGCTCTTGAAACAAATTACCTGTCAAATGAAAAAAGAAGAAAGTCCTTTCCAACTCATCATCCAAGAAGGGAAGAATTTTGTTATCACCCATAATTATTTGAACAGTGTTTCAGAGACACAGGTACCAGATGAAAAGGACAGAGAACAAAGTGTGTGCTTTGTTCTTGCAAAGGCTTTGTAATTCAAGGAAAGATTAGCGGCCTCTCTGAGGCCAGCCACCCAGGCAAGAGACTTAACCAACAGCCTCAACACAGCAGAGACCCTGTGATCCCCAGAAAGTGTCCAAATGCACCAAGCCCTACAATTTGCATTAGGACACCTACTAGGGGTTATTAACAATCCCCATGGCCCCTTTGACAAAAGAAAATTACAAACAAATATAATGAATTAAAGAAAACCTTTAAAACACAAAGATGTTAAAAGGACCTGAGATTCACCATAAACATGAGGTGCCTGAGGCTTGGGCCCCTCAGTGTCACTAAGTGGGAATGTCTGGGCACTGGTATGGTGGTGCATCAGGTTAAGCCATCACTTGCAAGGCCACTATCCCATAGCGAAGGACTGAGTCCTGACTACTCTGCTTCTGATACAGCTTCCTGCTAATGCACCTGCGAAGGTATCAGGGAATAGCCTACCTGGCTGGTCCCTTGCCTCCTACATGAAAGACACAGGTGGAATTCCTGGTTCCTGGGACCTAGTCCAGCTCTGGATATTACAAATGCTTGAGGAGTGAACCTTTAGATAAAAGCTCTTTCTTTCTCCCTCTCTCTTTTCCTCTCTCTCTCTCCCCCCTCCCCACTTTCAAATATATAAACAGTATTTTTTTTTTTTTTACAAAAACAAGGGGGTATTCTGATGTCTGGAGCAGCTCCTGCTAATTGTGTCATTGATTGCTGCTGTGCCTCAGTCTCTTAGTAGAGATTTTCCCATCAAAACATGGCAGTAAACCTGCACAATTCATGCGCTTCCTCCTATCTTCTGCTTTCTATAGTCTAACAGTGATGGGAGCTCTCAGGTGGGGTTGTTACTCTAACAGCATGGGTTAGAATTTCTCAGAATTCCCAGAAGTGGTTCTGCTTCCAGGAAAAGATCTGCCAGGACTGGCCACTCCACCCTCATATTTATCATCTTGAAACTTTCATTTTATTGACTCTTCAGAGTTCAATAACTTGATAACTATCTCTGGAAGCTGGGGACTAATTGGATGCTGAGTATAAGATATGAAAGTTTGTCTGGGTCCAGAGTCCCAGAAAAGATCTACCCAGTAAAATGGACCCTCTGGCGTGGGCTCCCCACTTGGCTTGACAGGCACAGTGAGCCCAGAAAAGACCCTCACAAGTGCACCCAGAGCTTCAGCTAGGCTGAGATTGAGAAAGAAGATGGCCCAGTCATCAAGAGGTTCCTATAAACTGGTGAGAAGAAGGGGACAATTTTTAAGTAGTGGCACATTTACCAACATCCTGTATCTTCAGCCAGAAAACCATAGATACGGCAAAAATTTAAGGACTCACTATATGAGACAGAGTGCACTCTGCCACCAGCAACAACTTGGCTGACTGTCATTTAGGAAGTCCCCTGGCGCTGAGAACATGACAAAACATGCTCTGTTTACCATGACTTCCAACCTGAAATAATAAGTAGGTCAGGAGTGTGAGGACCAGTTTTTTCATTTAATCTTTCATTCTCCTTCTTGTTTGACAGGGAAGAAAAGTTTATAAAAAGTTCAGATAAACGCGTTAGAGGCCACAGAGATGGCCTTGTTTAAGATTCTCTGTTACAAATTCAGATGGCAGAGGAAATTCATGCAAATGAGGCTAGTGGTTCCTTCACTGCAAGTTTTCATTTTCTTTAACTTGAGGACTATAATTCCTGGCCTATCTTCTCTCTCTCTCTCTCTCTCTCTCTCTCTCTCTCTCTCTCTCTCTCTCTCAGAAGAATGTGTGTACAGAGGAAAATGAGATGCCAGTGAAAAGCTGCCAGACATACGACACAGAATGTTCTCAGCTGAATTTCTTTTATATTAATTGTTCTGATTCTCCTTTCACAGAGTCATTGGTAGACGTGCACAAGAGCCTTGACGGGAACACTGGCTACGTATTGCAGTGCTCACTGCCACAGCCCAAGCCAGGTACTCTTTACAAGAAAAGGCTGTTCCATAAATAACAATTCATTCAGACACATCAATCATGATGCCAATTTTCTCTAGACCATCTGAGCAGTGTCACTGACATCACCAGTTTTCATCACTTCTAGCAATGATTAAAAGAGTGATGCAATATTTATCAAGGAATAACATAACCAAAATCTATGTTATCACAGCCTAGAGACCAACTTATGATATTGACAGAGAGACAGAGAAAAAGAGATGAGGAGAGGAACAGAAGTAGGGAAGAAAACTTACAGAGAAAAAGTCACTACATTATCTTTACCATCTTCTTATTTTCCTCTCCAAACTGTGTGTCTACAAAAATCAAGGACAGGTATAAAATGCTTCTTTGATGGCCCACACAAAGAGTGTGGTGCTCAAGTCCTGGCTCTGCTCTGATTCTAGTTTCCTGCACATACCTGGGTAAGCAGCAGGTGACAGCTCAATCATTTGGGTTCCTGCTACACATGTGAGAGAACTGGGTTGTGTTCCAGCTTCCTGACTTCATTCTGGAGCAGGCCAAGCTGTTGCAAACATTTTCTGGCATTTGGAGAGTAACCATGGAATGATCATTATTGTACCTATTGTAAAATTTTTATTTATTCATTTTCATTTTATGAGAGAGAGAGGAAGAAATATCTTTTATTTCCCCCTAATTGGCTGCAATTTCTGGCACTAGACTAAAGCCA